AATTATATACTACATTCGAATTATATGTCAGAGAAACAATTTTCCGATAAATTTAAATAAAACATTGTTAGTATTTTAAATAACGGTGCTAGTAATTTAAATTATGTTCAAAACAGAGAGAGGAAGAAAGTGAGGGAGAGAGGGGTGAGAGAGAGGAGGAGAGGGGGAGTGGGGGAGAGATAGAGATAGAGAGAAAGAGAGAGAGAGAGAGAGAGGGGGGGGGGAAAGAAAGATTGGATGATGATTGAATCATTTTCGGTATCAGAAAATTTGCGAAACTTCCTTTGAGAGTAACAAGAATACACGATCCATGCTATATACGTTGCTTTGTTAAAGACACTATTGTATTGTCTAACTTACTTGCGTCACCAGACATTCACCGACCGCACAGTACAGACACATGTGTAACAAACCACATATAATTGCTGCAACAAACCAACTCAATTGCGCAAATGATAATTGTCCTTTTTGATTAATAACCTAAATTGTCAGAAATATGAGTTACATAACATTTGAAAAACTTATTTATACCCGTTTTTTCCAAAGTGGTTCAAATTTTGAACCAAGTTTAAACTCCGATTAGCAACATTTTGTGTTTCATCAATTTTTTAATGAATATTTAGTTGAATTTTCCAATTAATTCAGTTGAATGATGTTCATCGTAAATGTTATTTTTTAGCTAGTTAATGAGTTTTAACGGCGTTTAAGCAGAAATTATCGTAAAATCTCGGTATTTGAGGTTATGTGCAGTGTATTCTGGACTTGATTTCGTACATACAAAATTGAACGAATAAGTAATTTAAAAAAATTTTTTGTCTTTGAAATGTTATATTAATAAACAATTTCAGAGACGAATTTTCTTTTCGTAAAATATCATCCGAAGCTTAATTTTTAAGTTATAAAAATATTTGCATATTACTGGTCGAATATAAGAGATAGTCAGAAGTGATGCAATTCAGATGTAAATGCTGATATGGGACATTTAGCTGATCGTACATGTAAAAGCACTCCTACGTATTATTTTTATAACTGTCGCTAGTGATCGTGCTTAATAGTAAATAAAGTGTTTTGATTACCCTTATAGAAATATCATACTAAGAATCATTGATAATTACTTATTTTCAGTATTAAAAATACTGGATAATAAGTAATTATCAATGATTCTTAGTATGACATTTCTATAAGAGTAGTAGAGTACAATTATAACGTATTGTTTGAGAATGATGTTGGATTATATAAGCTAACTGGAAAAAGAACTTTAAAAATAGAAATGATAGACGGATTATTAACCACGGTTTGAAAAGCATAAAACATTTTTTACAATTAAGGGAACTGATGAATTTGTTATAATCATGCTTTCTGAATTTAAAACATTTTATTTGATGTTGCGCACGATCATTAACGAAAATTATAAAAATAACATATAAGTGCAATTACACATCTTGATCACATCAGTAGATCGATTCTACAACTTTAACGAACAGTGTCGTTTTTGTTATTAAGTGTACAACTTTGTTTCCGCCGTTTTTTTCCGATATTCGAGGCTTTATTGTAAAAAACTGGTTATACATTTATGATTCAAAGTATTGTCCATCGCTGGCCACTACTTTCTCCCATTTTTCGGGCAGCGTACGAATCCAGCGTCGAAAAAACTGATCATCTTTTGAGGCGATCCACGAATCGATCCAATTTTTTACTTCTTCATAAGACCGGAAGTGCTGGTCAGCCAGGCTGTGTGCCATTGATCGAAACAAGTGATAGAGGGAGTAACGTCTGGAGAATACGGCGGGTGGGATAGGACTTCCCATTTCAACGTTTCCAAGTATGTCTTGACCACTTTCGCAACATGGGGTCGAGCATTGTCATGCTGCAAAATCACTTTATCGTGTCTCTCGTTGTATTGCGGCCGTTTGTCTTTCAATGCTCGGCTCAAACGCATCAATTGCGTTCGATACCGATCGCCTGTGATTGTTTCAGTCTGTTTTAACAGCTCATAATACACCGAGCTGGTCCCACCAAATACAGAGCATGATCTTGGAGCCGTGAATATTCGGTTTGGCCGTTGACGTGGAAGCATGGCCGAGAACTCCCCATGATTTTCTGCGCTTGGGGTTATCGTAATGAACCAATTTTTCGTTCCCAGTCACAATGCGATGCAGAAATCCCTTCCGTCTTTGCCTTTCAAGCAACTGTTCACAAGCAAACAAATGCCGTTCAACATTTCTCGGCTTCAATTCGTACAGCACTCAATTTCCTTGCTTCTGAATCATTCCCATGGCTTTGAGGCGTTTTGAAATAGCTTGTTGAGTCACTCCCAATGACTGTGCCAATTCTTCTTGATTTTGACACGAGTCTTGATCAAGTAATGCCTCCAATTCTGCATCTTCGAAAACCTTCTCTCTTCCACCGCTATGCCGGTCTTCGACGTCAAAATCACCGTTCTTGAAGCGTTGAAACCACTCACGATACGTTGTTTCACTAATAGCGGCCTCATCGTAAGTATTTGAGAGCATTCGATGAGTCTCAGCCACAGATTTCTTCATATTGAAGCAGAAAATTAAAACCTCCCGCAAATGACGAGAATTTGGCTCGTAAACTGACATTTTCAATCGAGAATAACTTTATGATGCAGACACAAATCGACTAATGTTTCTATGGGGTTATGTTGACAGATGCCCAAGTTTATTGTATGACGTCTATGATCTATTTATTTCGACCACTACTTACCGCTAAAGCCATCTATAGGAAAACAGCGGAAGCAAAGTTGTACACCTAATATATTATCGTTGAACAGATATAATTCATGGTAGAAAAACAATTATACACCATGCTAATGATATTGTTATTATAAAGTTCGACTTATAGGAGCTTCACGTCGGCATCTGCCTTTGACGGTGAATTGCGTTGCTCTTATCTACCTTCTATATCCGACCCGTAACTATTTATTTTTGTAATTAAAAAATTAAGCTTCAGATAACATTTTGTAAACAGAAATATCATCTTAGAATTCGTTCACTATTATGACATTTCAAGGACAGGAAATTGTTTTGAATTATCTGAGATATATTGAATTACCCGAGATATACCAGGTGTAGAAGTATGAAACCGGAATTTTTTTATACAAATAAGACGTCTGTTGTTCGAAAGTGATAAATAATACTTTATTCAAAATAATTTCCACTGTTTTGAACACATTTTTCCCACCTCTCTGGCAGTTTATGAATGCCGTGCCAAAAAAACTTTTCATCTTTTGAAGCGAACCAGTTATCTAGCCATTTTTCCACATTTTCATACGAATCGAAGCGTTGGTTAGCGAGAGCGTGTCCTAGCGATGCGAACAGGTGATAATCGGACGGAGCCAAGTCTGGAGAATAAGCCGCATGCGGTAGTAATTCCCAACTGAACGACTCGATCGTTTCCTTGACCCGTTTTGCTGTATGTGATGGGGCATTATCATGGAGCAAAATGACATTGTGTTGCCTTTTTGCATATTCTGGTCGTTTTTTAGTCAATGTTCGATTTAAATCGATCATTTGTTGTTGGTAGCGATTAGTATTGACGGTTTGACCAGGTTTCAGCAGTTCATAGTTCATAGTTCATAGTTCATAGTTCTTCGTTCCTCACGTCAAAATCACCACTTTTGAATTTTTTAAACCACTCGAAACACTGAGATTTACCAAGAGCATATTCACCGTAAGCTTCGACAAGCATTCGATGTGATTCTGCAGCAGTTTTCTTTAAATGATAACAGAAAATCAATGCTGTCCGCAAATCATAGTTAGTAGGCTCGAAACGTGACATGTTTAAGGTTATACAAAAATATACTAGAGAATGAAAGTTGGGGTTATGTTTGTTGACAATATTCGTCAGCTGTTAGGAGAATATAATAGCGCGGCAGTAGCGGTCTTACGGTCACTAAACTGAACGCTGGCACCATTTATAGGGGAATTCCGGTTTCATACTTCTACACCTGGTATTCAGAATCATCTTGCACATATCGTGTATTGTTGAGTAACAATGTATATCGACAAGTATATCATGTACTTTGCTCATATGTAACAAATTATTAAGAACTATTTAGAATAGAATAAATTCGTTATATAAATCGCGTACGATTATTTTTAACTTACATTAACTTACATTACTTACATACATAAGTTTACGTTAACTTACATTACGTTACTTACATTAACTATAAGAAATCCTTGTAGGCAAAATAATATACCAAAGTAAAGTACTATACCTAGCAACATCAAATTAAAAGTATCATCTATGATTTGGATGGATCTGCAATAACAAATTCATCCAAAGAGATAATATAATCTAATTTTGGAGGTTTACGATGATAACTCTTCGAGTTAGTTTTTCTAGAACTGAAATATATGAGATAGGCAGAATTACCTACTGCTATCATAATTCATGATAATTCAATATTGTCTGTTCTTGTGTTAACAAATAGATGATAATAAAATATAATCGTGTTACGTCATTGTCTACTTGTTAATTCAACTTGAGACTTATCGGGCAGCATTGAGTTATCATGAATTATGATGGTAGTAGACGATTGTGCCTATTATATATTTCAGTTCTAGAGGAACTAACTTGGAGAGCCTGTTTGTTTTTGAAGAATTGTTATGCTACTAAATATTAAGGCTATTATGTCGGATTTCGGTCCCCAGAATTAAGATTTCGATCTCCAAAATCAAGACACGCGCGCGTCCGACTACGACTAGTTTATATTGAAATAAATATACTTTATTTTATTCGAACTTATTACATTAGTTCAGCATTTCTTCGAAAACAAACACACTTATTATCGTAAACACACATTGTGCTTAAGGGGATGCTGGAGTCAATTACGAACTCGAACAATGTCGATAATGCAGAGATGATCGTCATTAATATAATAACGCTATCTTTTTTATATTTCTTGTATATATAGAATTTATATGAATGTGTGTTGCTTTGTTTTACCATATTCAACGGAAAACCTAACCATATATGTGTAGAAATATTTCTGCAAACTTTTTCGATATTTTTAGCTTTCAAAGGCAGATGCGAAGATAGAACAATGTTCTTCAAAATTTTTCTGTTTGGAGCATTCACACTTTCAGCATGTACAAGCTGTGAAACTTTTGGATTAGGCAAATATTACGCTAACTGACAGATGGAGATTTTACATTAAAAATTTTTTGTTCGTTTTCGTCACATATCGAGCAATGCTCCAATTTATCTTTGCACGTACTTTTATTGCGTAAAAGCATTTGTAATTCTGTGTAACCAATACGACGTAAACTTTGCAGAAAAATGTCAGTGTTCTGTCGGTAAAGTTTTCAGCTTCAGCATCCCCTTAATAGTATTAGGTGGTAAACTTAGTTCCTGCGGTTTTTTTTGTTTAAAAAACTCATTTATTTCGACATCAAAAGCAAAAAATACATTAATCGAAGTATTTTCCCTCGCTAGCTATACATTTTTCCCATCTTTCGGGCAACGCGTAGATTCCGCGACGATAGAACGATTGGTCTTTTGATGCAATCCATTCGTCGATCCATTTTC